TACATTGCATTTCACACTATATTCTTTGTTCACACTGTGTTTCAAATAATCATTCTCATGCATCATGTTTCATAAAAACAATCACCACTAGACCTTGCTGTCATTACCCCGTCTTGCCTCTGGTTTCTTATTTATTTGTTTCTTAGTTGTGTTTTTCATTCTACTATCCCTTCTCCCTTGCTGTCTGTGCCGGTGTCGGTGTCTGTTTCTGGTGAAGGGCCTAGAACATCCCAGGCAGGGAAAGCTGTGCCTCAGAAAGACCAGGCTAACCCATGGCCAAGCTCTCCAAGTTCATCAGAAGTGTTGACTCTGCATCAGCAACTCTGGCCTTTACAGTGTGTGTCCTGGCGAGAAGAGCAGAGAAGACGGACACCTACTATCTACAATTTCTGACGGAGCTGGTAACTTTGAGACCAGCTACTAAATGAAGTTCTGCCCAAGCTGCTGCAATGCAAACACCAGGGCTTGGACAAGCCCAAGGCTTTCATCCCACTGAGCACCTCTTGTGGACAAGACTGAGACTGTGGACTCAAGGTCTGCTGTACACACACACATACACACACACACACACACACACACACACACACACACACACACACCCTGCCACAGGGCTGTAAGGTATCATGGTGAAGCTACCCTCTACACACTTGATCTTAAAGAAAGACAACCAAAAATACTAGAATTGAAGTCAACAAAAGTTATTACTTCTAGAAGCATTAAACCCCCTAATGGCACACCTGGAGCCCCAACCCAAAGGTATGCAGTTTGAGTCCCCCAGCTGCTCCGTGGGAGAAAGATGGGCAATCCTCTCCCAAGGGAACTACTGCAGAAAATCCACACGGGAAACCGTACGGGGCAGAGCTCCATGCTGTGGCTCATGGGTGACACTGAGCCAGGGCTGACCCTCCACAAACATGTGCACCCACAGGACTGAGACAATAAATGGCAATCTCCACTTTCCCACCACTGGCCAAGAAAAATACCAAAACCAAACTCACTGCTGTTGAGTCCATTCTGATGGTGACTCTGAAAGGCAGAACAGAACTGGCTCACAGCATCCCCAGGGCTGGGAATTTTGAAGGGAGCAGATGACACACTGTTCTTGCTGGAAGAGAAGATGGTTTAAACCCCTGACCTTTTGGCCAGTAGCCTGGGGCTGTACCCACGGCACCCCTCAGGTCTTACATAGGCTGTAGACTCTGAGTGTCGACAGTAGGTGCCATTGAGCGACCACTAGGAACAACAGGTGGGAGCCGTACCCTGTCCTGCGCCATCCTCAACAGCTCCGCCAAGCTCAAGTCCACTGTTACAGTCACTGTGCCAATCCATCTCAAGGGTTTCCTTTCCTTCAGTGATCTTATCTTTTGTTCAACATAATATCTTTTTCCAAAACACTAGCCTTTTCAAATAACATGTTCAAAGTACATCCATGGTCCAGATAAGATAAAGATATTTTCAGTTGCAAGCTTTCTAGAGTGTATACCCTTCACAGTGTAACCACAGACTGTTGCCGAAAGAATTTCTGGAATAATCCATCAGTGACACAAGAAGCACAGTACAGAGAGAGCCATGTCCTCTCTGCCATGTCTCTGCCCCATGTCTCCCACTGAAGAGGCCAGAGAGCTCCACCAGCCACCGACTCCACCACTCCACACCTCAACCCCAGTCCTTCTCCCCTGTACTCCAGACCCCACATCACAGATGTCTTTGTGGCTCAAAAGGCATGAGGCACAGCCAGATTACAACCATCTAAGTCAGACGTCTGAACCTGGATATTCATTTCAATTCATTTCACTGCCAAAGAGGTGATTCAGACTCAAAACATGTTAGAACAAGACCCCCAAAATCCTACTCAAATTCTCAAAGAAACATCCAGCCCCTGGCCAAGGAGCTGTCCATCCTGACAGCACCTTCAAAGGATTGTCTCTGCCCTTCAGAAAATAGCGTCAGGGCAGCCAGGAGGACTGCGTGGACGATGAAGTCCATCTCAGGGGGACACACTCCTCCAAAGTTTTCAGTAAGTATCTGTAATCTAGGAGCTAACAGACAAGAACCCCAGAGCGGTGCCCTCTTTGTTGAATTGTAATCCACTGGTGTTCCAACCTAGCTCAGAGCATCACTGGATGAGATAATTAATTGGTTTAAAGAGGACTTGAAATAAATAAGAACCTATCCCCAGCTCTTCATTCCTCCCCTCATCCCTGCTAAGTTCCCAGGAGGCGCTGCAATAGCTCAGTAGTAATAATAATAATGCTATTAGCTCTGCTCGGCAGCCCATCTGTCCCACCAGCCGGCCCAGCACGCCCAAGACAGACCAGCTCCCTACGAGCCGCCGTCCTCAACTCACAGAAGTGTTGTTTTTAAGAAGGAATACTCCAGTATTGGGAACCATGTGGGTGAAGAGAACATGGAAAAAAAAGTGTGAAAAGAACACTTCAGGGAAATGTTAATTAGACCGGAGATGGGTCAGAATCTGGGAGAAAATGGGACTGTTAGACGTCAAAGATGACTCACTGTTTCTCTTGAAGATACTGCCCGGTGTGCAAGGTATACCGCACGTGGACCAGGGCTCCACTCACAGCCTTGTTTCTAAAGGAGGGTGGGAGAGGACCCTGACTTTTCTCCTGTCCCCCCCACTTAATGAAATCCACCCCTTGTTAAAATTCTTTGCATTGCAGCCAAAACAGATGTTAGTTCTATGAACTCATCCCTTGTCATCACCATTGTATCCATCGCCATAAATCAGCCCATAACACGTTCGTTCCAATCCATCACAAGTAAACACTGGATGCCCTATCACAGATGTCCTTGTGGCCCAGAAGCCAGGAGGGACAGCCAGATTACAACCATCTAGACCATCAATCTCAATCCCACCCCACTACATGAGGGTGGATTCGGACTCAGAGAAGCCCTGCTGGACAGAGCTGAGCTGCCCGGCAGGAATGCTGGGCTATAAATATGGACAGAAGCATGCTGTCATGTCGTTCCCCCCGGAGCGGCTGATGGGTCGGAGTGGCTGGTGGGTTTGATCCGCTGACCTTGGGGACAGCGGTTAACCCTTGCACGTCAGGCCTCCGTTCAGTCTCAATACCCCCCACAATACTGAAAATCAATCCAAAGCGTGTCATGAATGTTCACTCTGAAAAATCCTTTCTGCAAGTTAGTAACTGGGAAGCAACAGAGCTAAAACCTGAGCAAATATTTGGTGGTTTGATTTTTACGATGCCTTAAGATATAGAAGGCTGCGCAGTGGAGTGGACTTGGAGGCAGGGATTGTATAACAATGAAAGAGTTTTTCTTTTACTTTTCAAAGAGAAGAACGAACTGGAGGGGAGGGGTGGGCAGGGAGAAAAGTGCAACAATGAATGAATGGAAATACAAAAATCTCTGTAAATTTTTGTTAAAATTAATAATAATAAATCTTAAGAAAAGATAATACTGCACAACCTGCAAGATGAGACAACACAACCTTGTTTGTAAAAACATGAAGAAGACGTGAAGCATCTAATTAAAGATCATATTTTTCAGAACAGATTAAACTGCAACATAAAAAACCCAAATATCCTCACAACTGGACCAAGAAATACCATCATGATAAACAGAGAGATTAAATTTTCAAGGATTTCATTTTACTTGTATTCAGAACCAACATGCACAGAAACTGTCATCAAGTAATAAGATGAAGTCCTGCAACGGGCATATCTGCTGTCAAGGACCTCTTTAAAATGCTAATGAGTAAGGATGTCACTTTGGAGATTTTTGTGTGCCTGATCCAAGCCTTGGTATTTTCAGTTGACTCATGTACACATAAAAATTAGACTCTGTCTAAGGAAGACCAATGTCTAATTGTGTGTAAGGATTGATGCCTGCGAATTGCAGAGTTGGTGAAAACTGTTAGACCACACAGAGGACAAGTGTGTCTGCCTTAGACGATGGGCGGCCAGCATGTTTCCTAGGAATGCGGACAGTGAGACTTCATCTCACAAACACTGGGCATGTTGTCAGGAGAGGCCTGTTCCTAGAGAAAGGCAAAATGCTTGGAAAAGTAGAGGGTCAGTGACTGAGAGGGAGCGCCTTGATGAGACAGAAAGAAAGACTGCACCAATGGACGCCAGCACAGCAGAAACTGCGAGGACTGCCCAGACGGCAGAGGGTTTCCTTCTGTTGTACAGGACTCCCTCGCAGCCAACCTGCAGGCATCTAACAACAAAACTGCCAGGCGTCCAGATGGGACCCTGAAAATCAGGTGTGATGTGAACACTCAGGGGTGTAATGCAGATCCCAGGTGCCCTGTGAATGTGAGCGCAGCAGGAAAGGCCTGCTGAGAGCAGGGAGGGGAGGCTCCCCCGGGCTCTCCTGGCTGCTGTTTGGTGCCTTGCAGTCAGTTCTAACTCAGCACCCTGCTCTGTCCTCACCATCCCTCGGGTGTCTGACTCCATGGTCGCAGCCACTGCATCCATCCGCCTGCCTGCAGGTCTCCTTGCTCCAATCTGCTAACCCTCCGCCTTACCAAACAC